ATCTGTAGCTTCTTCATGAAGAGATTGATTTTCTTCCCTAATTATGGTGAATATGCTTTAGCCAAGGTACAATAGACCAAACAGCCTCCTCCAACTGTTCCAACATAAGTAGCACATCCAAAGATGAGATGATAATGCCAGAAACAGGCTGCTTTCCAACAGTGGATCCTTTCTGCCATTCATTTATGTGCCTAAAGAAAGCCCCTTTGGGAGCAATGAGTGCACCATAGGGAATCCAAGCTGAACATTGCCATTCTTTTTCTGACATTTACAAAGGGGCAGAGACTGTAGGAAATGCTATCATTGTTCCTCTCTCTTTCTGAGTCATAAAGACTAGCTATACCTCTTGATATTACATATGCAACATTTTCCTATACAGACTTCTGATATGCCAGTTCAACTAGTTTAAAAGATTTGTCTGGGAAAACCTTCTCCATCCACCCTACTCATTCTATCTATCTATCTATCTATCATCTATCTATCTATCTATCTATCTATCTATCTATCTATCTATCATCTATCATCTATCTATCATTTGCTACATGTTGCACCACATAATGAGAATTGGAACTCCCAGAATTGTGAGAAGCTAAAGACTTTCACTGGGAGTAGGATGAGAAAGACAGATTGTGTTCTAATCTTGTTGGTCTTAAAAATAAACCAAATTAAAATCCAAAGAGTCCTTCAGGTGTGACTTTACCATCTTAAAACCTTTTGTTAAGATGAAAATTGGATTAGATCAATTCAGAGAAGCTTTTATTGATACTGAAAATGAAGACCTAAGTTGAAAAGATCGTGCTAGAGAAAAGAAAGCTAAGTAATTTTGTTAGATATTGAAAAATATTTTCATATATAAAAAGATAGTTCTGCCTGGCCAGTATGGGTCAGTGGTTGAGCTTTGACCTATGAGCTGAGAGGACACAGTTCTATTCCCTGTAAGGGCACATGCCTAGGTTTGGGCTTAATTTCCAATAACTGGGGGAGGGGAGGGAAGGGAGGTGAAGGAGGCAGCTGATTTTCTTTCATCATTGATGGTTCTATCTCTCCCACTCCCTCTCTGAAATAAATAAAATATATATTTAAAAAAATAAAAAGATAGCTCTGATGCTCATGCGTAATTTGTTCTTTTTATAAATTGATGAACTTACATCTTAATTACGGCATTCCTTGGGAATGATGTTTGTTTATATGGCTTTAGTAATATTTAGCAACAAAAAAAGAAAATACTTACAAACCATGTGAAATAAAGCCTTTTTGTTTGCAGCTATCAAAGTTTTGTATCCCTAAGTACATCTTCTTTTGTTTATGTCCTTTTAGTTTAAAAGGGGTGTGGCTTCTAAGGAAAGTGAAACCCATTGGGACATCTGTTCCTATCCCCCTTTTTAATGCATTATTTTCTCGTTCTCGATTTCAGAGTCTCCTTCTAACTCTCCTACCCAAGTTTTTGTTTATGAAAAAAGCATATGTGAATTTATTCTAGAAATAGTTATTGACCAATTACTGTATACCAACTATTTTTCTCAGCACTTAGAAAATAGTAATGAAGAATACAGAAAAATATCTGCCCTCTTGAGACTTATATCTTAGCACACATGAGAGGATGGTGATGCAGAATATAATAAATATATTTAGGTGATTATCAAGGGCAAACCTATGAATATTTTTAGTTGCTTTATCCTTTTCGTGGAATTCCATAAGGACTCAAAATCACTCATGCTGCCCATAATTCCTGTATGAGGAGACAGATATTAAATGCTATAAGTAAGTTAAACATTTGGTAATGTTATATCCAAAAAAAAGCATAATGGAAAGATGATATAAATAAGTATTCATTTTTAAATTGATCAGGTGAGACTTTGCTGAGAAATAGCATTTTTGTAAAAGTCTGAATTTATTTATATAATTAGTCATTTTAAACTTGAATTTCTTATACTTAGTTAACTGAAAAATGTAATAAATTTTAGAGTCTGTGGAAAGCTATAATTAATTAATTATTTAATTGACTTATTGTTGGTGTTTTTTCCAGACTTAGTTTATTATGACTGTTCCTGGACTTTAGGGAATAGGCCTTGTCAAGGAACAGAGGGAGCTGAGGGGGGCAGTTAGGAAACTATCACAACAATATAAGTGAGGAAGAAAGAAAGAGAGTAAATGAAGACATTGACATTTCCCCAAAGTGATCAGCCGTCTGGCCTTTTTTATAATACTTCCATTGTTCCTTACTACCTTCAGGATAAAGCCCATACCTCTTTAATTTACATTAATATTCCTTCAAAAACTGGCCTCTTGCTGGATTCTCTAACAGGTGCATCTGTGTTCAATAAAACTTTATTTATAAAATTGGTTGTTGGCCCAATTTCTGCAGTCAGCTGCTTGCCTTCCCCTGATCTGTTTTATGGAACGTGACCATTCTTAGTAAATGGCGTTCTTTCTAAAAGTTACCTCAGTCATACAATAAACTGCTCATTTTGTTGCCAACATGTCCACATTCCACGTAGGAAGTTGGCAGAAGAGGAAATGGTTAAAAGAGCACTCACCAGCTGTTAACTCAAATAGAACCTCACCCAATATCTGCTTATATCTTAGTAGCCACTTCTCCATGAAATGAACCAGAGGAATGTAGTTGTATGAATGGATATATTTTCATTCAATAAAACAAGGGTTCTGTTACCAAGGAAGCAAGAAAGACTGAATACTGGATAGTCTTCTAGAAGTTTCTGTAATAACTACCAGATTCCCATCAGTTTTCTCATTTGTCAGAATGGGAGAATTAGTGCCTCACAGAGTCATTTTGTGAAGATTGAGTGATTTAACATGCAAATGCTGTTAGGATTGTGCTGTGTATACTGTAAAGTCTTGATAAAGATGACATTGTTGACATTAGCATAATTTTTAATCTTTTATGTATTTCAATCTTCCTTGTATTCCTAATGCCTAGAATGTTTTCAGGCATACCATGGAGCTGAATAAACATTTTGAATAAATAAACAGTCATTATCATCAGTTTTTTTGTTGTCTGAAGTAGAAACTGTTCTTGGTGTATTTAATCACTTACTAAAATAATAACACTTGCTTCCAGAAGTGACAACATAGCTGGCGAGTTAGTCTCAGACAGGGACAAGTATCCCATTATTGCTGTAATTATGTAGGTCCAACTATTTTCACTCTGTCCTTGAGTCATTCCACTCAACATTGAAAGCCCCACGAGGCAAAGTCTAATGTGCCAAATGTGACTGAATCATCTTTCTCTCTCTCTCTCTCTCTGGGTGGAGAGAACAGGACACCTTGTTTTATAGTCCCACAAAACTGCATGTAACTAGACAGAAGCAAATAATTAGGATGAAATCAATGTGCAGGATGAAATTAGCAGGGAGAAACTAGGCAGAAGATACAGAAATGTCCATCACAGGTTTCCATTCCGGTTAGTTTGCATGGCTTCCAGGAAGTCATGCTTGTGATGCAAGAGCATCCTCCAGGAGGAAAAAGAGATCTAGCACTTTGGCTTCTGTGAACACAGCTGTATCTTCATTTCTTTCCAATTAAATAAAAAACTGTCACCTTGTAAAACTGAGCGCAGAAACCCTGAACAGATGAGACCTATGAGACCAATTTTCTAAGGCAAAGATGCCAGGATATGTCAGTGAGCTTCTGGGCTTAATAATGGAAAACAGTAAAGAGGTGGAAAAGAAGGTTAGGGGCTAAGGTCAAATAAAGGTGCCATGGCTTTAAAGAATGCCATCTGTAAAACTTTTCTTCTAATCATAAAATTGCATCAACTCTGTAAGTAATTGTTTTTTAAAGACTTCATTTTCTACAACAACGGTGCTGCCAGTCTGGTTGATTGATGAGCAGTTGATTATTGTCTCTGATAAAAAGCGGAAACCACATGGTTTTTTACTTTGTTTTCACTGATGTAGAACTACATATAGCTCTGTGATAATCTAGAGATTTATTTTTAAGCATGATTCCCAATAGTGTCATCTGTCATTTTCAAGTCTGTCAGACCTTTGGAATTTGATTGGTTTGGTAAATTTTATTGTGATTAAAATATTTATACAATTAAAATTATTTTTAATGTTTTTTTTATTGATTTTTAAAGAGAGAGGAAGGGAGATGGAGAGAAAAACATCTATGAGCTACTTCCTTCTCTCTCACCAGCTGGCATGTGCATTGACCAGGAATCTAACCAGTGACTTTGTGTTGCATTGGGCTGTGCTCAACCAACTAAGCAACACTGGCCAGGGCAAAATTCTTCTATTTTATTTCTAGCAAAAAATTAATTTACATGACTCACCTAAATTGATTTGCATGATTATGAATATTTGTGCTGTTACTGAGCGCCATTCCAAACCATTGTTGGAAATTTTGTACACCAGTAAAGTGTATGTGCAGGGAACTATAAAGATATGTAGCCTCTTTTAAGAACTTGGGTTTGGAATTTGTTTACACTGTTTAGATATTTAAAAAATCGATAAATTCACACTGATATAAATTTCATCCTTGGTAACTCTTCAAATGTAGAGTTTATAAAGTTAAGCCAAAAAACCTTTTCTGAATCTAAGACTTAATTTTTATTTTTTTTTTACATCTTGTAGTTCTAATCATATTTATTTCTATGAAGTTGCATTGGAAAATGTATGTAAATGCCATTAAAGATTAACCAAACCTGGCTGTGGTGGTTGAGCATTAACCTATGAATCAGGAGATCACAATTCCATTACTGGTCAGGGCTGGATTTTGGGCTTGATCTCCATGTAGGCAGTTGATAAATTATTCTCTCTCATCATTGATGTTTCCATCTCTCCTTTCCTCTCTGAAATAAAGAAAAACATATTAAAAAAAAAAAGAATAAGTAAGCAATTAAAGATGGAACATTATGCAAAATACATAAATTTTAAAATACATTGTTTAGGAACTAATAATCCTTAACATTCTATAACTTGTCAATGCTTTGTACAGTATTGCTAATCTCTTGATCTTTCTGTTTCTCTTTTTGCAGTGTTTTAATGCATTATTGAAACGACAAACACACCTACAGTGGTTTCCTGTTGACAGATCCCATATTTTGAAAGCTTGAGGTATTTTATCATGAAACATGCCTGGTGGAAAATTTGAAGCATAGGAATCTGCCAAACACCTGAATAAAGAATTCCTCACCTCACCACTACCATGACTAACCAGGAGAAGTGGGCCCACCTGAGCCCCTCAGAATTTTCTCAACTTCAGAAATATGCTGAGTGTAAGTATTCCTGTTGGCAATATCATGTTATTTGACATTTGTGCTGAAGAAGATAAGATCGATTTATAGGAACAGATTACAGATTATAATCAGCATCAGGATACACATAGGTGTGTCTTTTGTGTTTGCAAGAAGGTCAACTGGAGGTTACCTTTTAAGCAGGAGACAAAGGAAAAGGTAAGCTTAAATCAAACATCAACTCTGGAAGAAAAGGAGCTAGGATGCTGGATACAAGGCTATACTTAGAAACACTCCATCTGTAAGAGAAGTAAAGCAAAGGATGTGACAGCCTGGGAGAGTGGAGATTGGCAAGGCTGGAACCAAGAAGAATGACAACAGGAAGAGCAGAAAGACAGTAATAGTAAAATAAAAGGAGAAAAAAATGGTGCATATTTGAGTCAATAGGACCTGCCTCAGGGGATCAGAGAAAGGGTAAATGCAGGATTCAAACCCCCCCCTCCCACCCCTCTATTTTTCAGCGTAATACTTCAAACAGGACTGGGAGTTTGAAGTCAGAGATACTTTGTGGAGTTGGCTTTAGAGATTGTACAAAAAAGAAGAGCTGTCAGGACCTTAGGATAACTGGTTTAGTATGTGTAGTTATAGAAGAGATAGGCCATGGTAATGGGCTTCATAATGGGGCATTTCTAAATATTAAGTTTATTCATACATACACAAAGATTTTGCTTACAAGAAGTTTGTTTTTACCATAGATTTTCAGGAATATGTCTCTTTTATGAAATGAATTTCAGCTATATGTACACATAGCAACTGGGTCAAGGTATTGAAGAAAAAAAGGAAGCAAATAATACATAGGAGGCACTAAAAGGTTTGGAAGGTGATGAGTAGAGGAAAAAAATAATCCATAGAGGATATAATAAAAGTGGAGAGAGAGAAGGAAATAACAAGGTACTGAGAGAGTAAAATGTAAGAAACGGAAAGAAAAAAAAAAAAGAATCAATAGCACATAATAGTAAGAAAGGCAAAAACTGGTGCAGCTGGTGAGGCAACAACTAAGAGGAGGTATGGCATGTAGGAGATAAGTTTCAGGACCAACTTGAATATTATGAAGGAGAGGCAGAGAAAATGGTTAAATGCAGAAGAGGGATTTAGAATCTATACTAATAAAAGGATAATATGCTAATTAGACCAGACATCTTCCGGTTGTCCTGGTCAGTGCCATGGTGGCAGGGGCTAAAGCAGAGGTGGTTAGGCTATCAGGGGAGCAGTTAGGGGCATCAGGCTGGCAGGCAAAGGTGGTTAGGGGTAATCAGGCAGGCAGACAGGTGAGCAGTTAGGAGATAGCAGTCACGGATTGTGAGAGGGATGTCTGACTGCTGGTGTAGGCCCAATCGCAGGGGTCCTGGATTGGAGAGGATGCAGGCCAGGTGGAGGGGTATTCCCCCTCTACTCTGCCTCGTGTGCATGAATTTTATGCACAGGACCTCTAGTAATAAATAATTTTGATGGTAACAGTGAATAATGTATAAAATACACATTATAAATCAGGAATATTGATAAAACACTTCATGCATCCCATCTGAAAAGTCCAACCTCACAGGTTTTCTAAAGCTTTCCTAACTTGAGGGTTGTAGTACTCTGGATGAGGGTGTAAGAGTGCTGCTGGGTATTTATTTGCCAGGAAGTCACAAATCCATAAGAACATGTGAATTTTTTAGTCTATAATAATAATAAAAATAAAACTACCACATGGAAGGAGGCAGTGTCATAAAATGTTGACATCAGTATATGGTCCTCGTACTCAAAACTGTCTCTATGTGCTGAAAGCACAGTTAATTCATTGATCACATAAAGAATATTTGGCCAAAGATGGGTACATTATTGTTTGTATCCTTATACATAATAATTAGTGAATCAACTAAAATGATTTACCTGTCCTTTCCAATTTCTATATGCTCTTTGTACTATATCCAAAAATCAAGTAAATATAGGGTGTCCTCAAAAATGTATACACACTTTAACAGCTGATAACCCACTTAATTTTCATTCCTTTTCGGGTTTAACTGATTTTTATTTTAAATAATGGGTGAAGCCAGACTAAGCTTTGCACATACACACACACACACACAAAAAAAATTATCCTAAAGTGCTACTAGACCTTTAAAATGGAGATACATAAAATATAAAGTTTATGGTACAAAATGATTCTTGATGTTTTCAATTCCATTGCTTTGTGTTATCAGCAGTGCCTGGACTAGAAAGTTCATCCATTTGAAAGCAGGCATTTACAAAAACAATTACTAATTTCTGTAGATTCTTTTAAATTTTGAAAGTGAACTGTATATTAATAAACATTTACTTCATAATAATTCACAGTGTGTATGCGTTTTTTGGGGACACCCTGTATTTCCACTTGTCTTCCTTAGGAGTAGTACTCTGTTTGATGTTGCAGGAAATGCAAATACGAAGTGATATGGACCCTTCCTTCAAGGAATGCTAACAACTAATGAAGGATTGAAGGCTAAAAACTAATGGACTCTTATTTCTAGGCAGAATATTATAAGTGCCACAAACCAATCTTGGGGTTCTGTAGGGCTTAAGTGTTCAACTTGAATTGAGGGAAGGGAAATCTTCATGGAAGAAGAAGGATTTGAGATGAATCTTGAACTATAAGTTTCAATTAAATGAAGAAGGAAATGATATAAAGGGATATTCAACATATATTTGAGGATGGGTGATGGTGGCCACATTTAGCCACACCACAGATTAAGGGAGTAAGTGGAATTAAGGTTGGAAAAATGACACAGAATCAAAATACACACTGCTAAACTTGAGTTGGGCAGTAGGAATTGTGGGGTTTTGAGGACTGGTCACACCAACAATCCTGTGCTTCAGAGAGTTTAATCGGGCAACTATGAGAATGGTATGTGGTAATGGAAAGAGACTAGAATCAGGCCAGTAGGCTATTGGAATAGACTAAATAATGTGAATGAATGATGAATTCATTGACCAGAAAAGTTGAGAGTTGGATGGAAACTAACAGAGGAAGCTTAGGAAATAATAAAATATGAGAACTGAGAGCTAGAGATGGATGGGGGATTTTGGTAACATAATCCCCCAAGTAAAGAAAACAATTAATTTGATTTAGGTTTGTTGAATTTGGCTTGATTATTAAAATACGTTTTTTAGTGTCTGAGTACTTACAGGAAAAAGGTTTTATAGGAAGCATTAATATAAAATAGGCAAGTTTTTGCCATACAGCTCAAATATCATTTATAATGACTACTTAATCGGATATCTCATATTCCATTTGAATTGTTAAACATAATTTAATAAAGTCTCAGATATATCACAGGCTGCTACTTTTATTGGCTAGGGAATGTGGAGGTGGATTTAATTATATCATAAGAATGCTTGATTTAGTAATTGACTTTTTCAATGCCTAAGACAAGTAATAAAAATTGTCATAATGGCCAGGATCAGTTTGGCTCAGTGGATAGAGCGTCGGCCTGTGGACTGAAAGGTCCCGGGTTCAATTCCGGTCAAGGGCATGTACCTTGGTTGCAGGCACATCCCCGGTGGGGGGTGTGCAAGTGGCCGTTGGTCAATGTTTCTCTCTCATCGATGTTTCTAACTCTCTGTCCCTCTCAATTCCTCTCTGTGTAAAATCAATAAAATATATTTTAGGTTAAAAAATATTTAAAAAATGGAACATATGGAGATGAAGATTAATGAGCACTCAATAAATTGGTAGTAAGAAGTAACATGGTAAATGTAAGGACATTATTAAAACAGATTGTATGAGTATATAAATTAATTGGTTAACTGAATGAAACAAATAGTGCTGATTCCATGATTATTAGACTTGCTATTCTTTTTGAAATAACCAAGATAACATGAGAAATGTTAGATTTAATCCTCATGACAGTGATTTTCAATTGGTGTGTCCCGGCAGGCATAATGGAGTGCTACAAGAATTTTTAAAACATGCAATAAATACCTGATTATTCAGTCAGGGTCCCTGACATCTTTTCCCTTCGATTGTCAAATTTTAAAAAATTATAATAACCAGCATAACAATAGCTGTCTGGTGTGAAAGAGTCAAAAGTATACCTATTTTTTTTGTCAGATTGGCAACAAATATATTTTTTATATGCCATAGAATTTTAGTTATTAGTTTATGTGTACCAAGAGATGAAGAGAGTTGAAGATTGCTGCTCCATGAATTTTCCTATATAATTAAGAAGCAAAAACTGTCATGATTAGAATGTGTCCTCAGGTCATGAATTTCCATTGTCAAAATATAATAGGACACACACTTATCCTGAATATTATAACAGTAGTATATTTTCCATGCTATTCAGTGCATGTGATCAGCAGCATTTAAGAATCAGATTTTTCATGTTGGAATGCAATCCTGGCAAAGTGACATTTGCCCATACTATATTATATATGTAAAAGTGGTACGTTGAATATGGGTTAATATCTTTTGTACCTTTCAATAAGAAATGGCTTAGATGTATTAGATGATTAAATAAAAAAACCACACAGGTTATTGATTTCAGTTTTAACTTGCAAAATACTAGGATCATATGTGGTAGATATCAAACAACTATTATATATACTTTTGGGGAATGGGGTTGGGCTGAGGAAATCTAGGTCATGTTGAGTAAGTTCATGGAACACCTACCCCAGCAAAGCCAAATTATTTAAGTTTAACTTAGACATTTTCTTAAGTTATCTGATTTTGGGTTCTCTACAATTGGCACTATGTATCCCATCTGGGCTGCTGTAACAAAGCACCATAGGCTGAGTGACTTATAAACAACACAAATTGATATCTCACAGTTCTGGAGGCTGGAAGCTCGAGATCAGGGTGCCAGCATGGTTGGGTACTAATAAGGGCCCTCCTCTGGTTGCAGAATTCAACTTCCCTTTGTAACCTTACATGGTAGAAAGAGCAAGAGCAGAACAGCAGTCTCTCTGGGAACTCTTCAAGGGCACTAACTCAATTAATTCATCAGAACTCTACCCGCATG